TGTAATCGAAGCTTCTCCGCATAACCCGACGACTTCCACGCTGTAACTCCTTAGAATTTTTAAGAATTGGTTACACTACGGTTGTGACCAGGAGCGGATGCGGATGGTCTGACTGGCATGGTGAGTTTAAAAAAAAAAGTGATAGCACCTTTTCGAACATTTTCCATTGTTCATCAAGACACTTAAATCATAAAGACACAAAGGTAGACGGCACTCTCATGAACGTCAGGTTATATAACGAAAAATACTGCCTTCAACAAGATGGCAGGACGCCCATCTGAAAGATTTTATCTTGACAAATAGTCGTCTGCATATAGGTGTCGGCGTGTTTATGACAGGGTATCGTTATAAAATCGGTGGAGTCTTAGGACATAAAAATTCCATTTTGTTATGCTCTGATGTAATAGATCGAAAAGTCATGAATTTGCAATGAGCTAATGACGATGGGTTTAGTATGTTTTCCATTAATTTATGTTTCATGTTTTGGAGAGGAGAGTGTTATTAAATATTTTTCTTCCAATGAGTTTATTGTTTTTTGCTGCGTGAATCCTACAGTTATGATCAATAGTTATTCCGTTTTTAGACCATCCATACCAAATGACGAGGCGACGCCATATAGCCAGCGGCGCCTCGAGAAATTTACCGAATTCTCGCTCCTATCTGTGACCAACAGAATTGGATTAGTGCCATTATGAGTTGCCTATAACCTTGCCAATTTTGCTGCAAGAAAAGACGAATTTTTTCCGTTAAGGAAAAAACACTTCAAATGTAAATTTTAAATACATTTTTGCCGAAAGATATATGGGCCAACATTGCCTATTGACATAGCAAGCTAAAATTGCAGAAAGACTCCTTTAAAGACGCTTTTAGTCATACTACGTTTACACGTTTCTTTGCAGCTAAGTTTCATATGCGTATCGAATTGAAAATAGGAAAAAGAGATTCTTTTTGTGAAAGCACGAGCGAAAAGAATCTAAATATGGCTAACCCGCAGAGTTTCAGCAACCCTTTACGCCAAAACCAACTCTACGAGGGGGCCCACCGAAGGAATCCGTTGACGGAAGTCGAATGGCGCCCACCCCCCGCTTTCCAGCCATGGATGGCCATGATGGATGTGGCAAGTGAGGGTCGTCACGCCCTCGTGACACAGTGGCACCCCCATCCAGTCGGAACGGGAGAGAAAGAAGAAAAAAAAGGGAGGGGGTGATATTTTCAGGCGTCGTATTCTCATTTCGGCTTCCGACTGGCCCGCTGCCACAATTAGAAAGGAATGATTGGCGTTCGGGACCCTCCACTTCGTTGGTCCAGGGTCCGATATCGGAATGAGAAACCTCCGCTTCCGGCCAATCGGAAAGCAGAGATGCACCATTTCGAATGCTGTGGAATGTTAAAGAGCAGCTGCTTTTTTTAGGCATGCAGCTGGAATACTCATCACTCATAACGGAACAATTATATAATTACTCACGCTTCTAATTTGAATGAGTGAATTTATTAATTTCCCCAGTCACCAACGAAAATTTATGATTTAAGCTACATATGCTCGCTATAAATTTTTATATGGTGGAAGCTGTTTATCCCGACGTAATATGGGTACTCGGAAAACCAAAAACTTAGGATACTTGCGTAATGCCCAATGCATGCTACCTTAGATAATTAAAAAAATGAATACATTTGTTACCTCGAATGGCAGATAGCCTTGCTCAAAAACTCGGACGAAATGGCAAATCACAGACCTTCAAAGCCGTCTGTAAATATGAAGCTTAACACAAAGTGTGTCATGTTTTTTTTTTTTTTTTTTTTTTTTTTTTTTCCCTCCAAGATAGTAAGATTGGTATTGGTTCGAGATGACATGGTTGGACATTCACGCGCCTCAAGTTTCAGCAATTTACTTTCTCGAATTTTAGGGGTTGTCTACAATTTCGGGAATATCAGATTTTTCCGCAAATGACGATTGCTTACATTTCTTTTATAATTGTTAGAATATTCTTATACTTAAATCATTTTTGAAAAATCTAAACTAGAAGATTTGAGTTCTGGACTTCTGGAATATGAAGAAAATTTCGTTAATACACATATGTAGAGAGAAAACACATTTTTATTATGTCCTATTATGTAAATAGAGCACCGTTTATACGTCTTTGAAGGAACCATTCGCAAACGACGTATAAATGAGAAAGACGTAAAAAAAAATAATTTACGATGTGAAACATACATATTTAGCTGCACAATTATGATATTACTAACTTATTAGTGATATTACTAATTACTACTACTAATATTGCTAATTATTAATTTTATTGTCGTACTTTCAGTTTGTTTAAAATATGAACTACGCTAAAATAAATTTAAAATTGATATTTTGAATAACTATTTAATTAATAATATTTTAAAGGAGTTAAACAATTTTTTAATTGTTAGTATTTTTAAAATCATAAGAATGCAAATTTCTCTACCTAGTTACGTAAGATTGAAAAAAGAAGTCATATCTTTACTTGAATTACCATATTGAATAATTTTTTTCCAAGAATATTTTAAAGCAAATTTATTTATTTATTTATTTATTTATTTTAAGAAAATGACTCTGCAATTTCTTCGCGTCTTTTTTCCCATTTTCAGTTAGTCTTTTGTTCAAAACTTCGCATTCGTATATCATTTAGTTTATATATCTTTATTTATTTAGAATGTTTTCAAAACTTGTTTAAAATACTGGTAAGGAAATTAAAGGGAAACATGTAATGGGAATGAATGTAAGGGAAACGTGTGACTTTAACAGTTCATAAGATGATGAATAACATTAATATAAGCTATGGATTAGATTAGATTATTCATTTATGGCAAAGCACACGAGGGCTATCTGCCTAAAGGGAGGGATGCCTTTCGAGGAGGACTTTTTAAGGGAAACTGGCTCGTATACACATAACAGATGGGGAAAACCACGAAAACGCCCATGCAGCCAGCCCGTTCGCGGGATTCGAACCTCGGACCGAACTACCAGTGTTCAGCGTCTTTACCGCTCGGCCGCTGGTGGGCCTAAACTATGGATTAAAGTCATTCAAAATTTTATATGTAAATATAGGAATTCGTTTATGTAAAACTACTAAACCCTGGTTGGAGCATCAATGTCTTTCAAGTTCAGATCGGGGGGGGGGGAATCAGACTGCTGTTGCTTGGAACCAAGCAAACAACAAAATATTACAAAAGGCTTATTAAGTTGATGATCTGATGATAACATGTCATGAAGCGACATTTTATCAAGGAAACCCGAAATTCTGTTGATCCTGTAACCGATACTTTGAGTTATTGAACACAGCTTTGAAGTCTTCCTTCAAGCCATCAGTCACAAAGGAACTATATTGAAGTGACGAAGAAGATTCAACCACGATCTCTTAAGCATGAAATATATCTAAGAAGTTGGCGGGGGGGAATTTCAAAATATAACATTAGAGAGATTTCATTAGAGATTAACATTAGAGAGATAAATATTCATATAATTTTTTTTTGGGGGGGGGAGAGCAGAATCTATAAAACAAATAGACATTCGAACTTTATTTGGAAAAATCTTCACAGCAGACTTACTTTCTGGGAACAGATTTATAATCAAAAACTATTTTAAAATCAATAAACTTTCAATAAATTTTGCTTATTAAATATAATAAATTAAAATATGTTTGGAGAATTACTATAGTCCGACACTTCTCAAACTTTTTTTCAAGTGGGCAGCACATTTATAAATTAGAATGTTTTTCGGACAGCCTTATTCTGGTTCTCTTCGAGAGCAATTTGTTTAGCATATGTTACTGTCAATATATTTTTATAATACAATTAATTAAAATCCATTTAATTTTATACTGGTATTAAGTTAATTAACAGAAGAAAATTTATATTTGTTTTCTGTAATTCAAGGCTATTAGAGTTTGGATAATCTTTATATTATTAACTAAAAATTGATCTCGGTACTCATCGTAATGAGATGGATGAGCCTGTGGATTATTCCACAGCTATTGTGTGTCTGGATGTACGCTGGTAAGAAGCGCCACAGTCATAGTGCTGTAAATTTCTCTTTTGTCGCTAAGATTAGAGTGAGAAGTCAGTAAGTAGTGTAACCCTAATAAATTTTATAAAATGGTTAGTCTTTGAAGAAAAAGTGATAGATTATTTGCCATGTGTAATTTCCAAATTTTTAGGGTTTACTACAGTTAATTTACATGCAGTTAAGTTGAATTTTATTTTGTGTATTTGTTTGGAAACCTAAGAGGACTACGAGGGCAAGCTTCGAAAACCACAGATTGAGAAGCACTGCTATAGGCATTTACCCCCATCTATTCAATGCACTAAAGTATGCGAAAAAAGAAGTTTTGTGGCATTTTACAATTTTAGACCGATAATCTGACATATATGATAATTCTGAATCGCTAAAACCCGAGCATGTTCTATAAGGTATTTCTCCCGCCTTCTTGGCATGCCTTCGTGGTGTGGTGGTCTACACGCTGGGCGCGTTTCGATTCCCGAAGGTCCGTGTTTCAATTCCCGGCGAAGGCGTTGCTCATTTTTCATCTTTCCTGCTTCAAATTAATCTAGCGTCTCTACAGTGGCGCCCGAACTAAAAGGGTAAGGGGAGGTGGATGATGATTCTCCACATTCAGGATTTGGCGAATGGGTCCTCTAAAAACCCCAGTCGCCCTTTAAAAGGGGGAGTATATAAGGTTTTCTCCTGCCTCCTTGGCATGCCTTCGTGGTGTGGTGGTCTGCACGCTGGGCGCGTATTCTAGAGGTCTGCGGTTCGATTCCCGACGAAGAAAATGCTAATTTTTCATCTTGCCTGCTTCCAAAAGTACCTAATGTCTCTACAGTTCAACTATCAGACTTTTACTGTTCGTACAAAATTCTGTTAGAAAGGACAAGAGCTTTCATTAACATAGTTGCATGTGTATGTACTGTTTTATATATTGTGTTTCCGATTGTTAAGAATAAGTAACTGAATGAATTCTTTCCCCTTCCAGGTTGATTTGCGGTATGATAAGGAATCTCTGCAGGACGATTATACTCTAATGGATGTAGCATACATATTTCTTTGGAGAAGGGTAAGATTTGAAAATTTTCTAAATGCAGCATTTCCTCGCGTAAATAGAATTAATTTACTTTTAAAAGGTAAACATATTATGTTAAGTATTTTGTGAAATTGCGTATAAAAAATCCCAACAATATACTATATAACAGATGTAAATTTTATTTAGTGTTTAATTTTTTCTCTCCCTTTTTTAATTTTTAATTTTATTTATTTATTATTATTATTATTTATGAAACGTCAACGTATGGAGTGAAACTGATTCTTCTGATAACTGTGCTAATTTTTCTTCAAAGAACAATGAACTGGCTAATGCAGTCAACTCCCGATTAACCAGGCCGGCATAATCGGACATTTTTTTTTTTTTTTTAAAGTTTCTTTATCGCGGAACGAGGGATAAAATTGCTGTCGCAAAGCATTAGAATGAAGCAGAATTTCTACGGAGATTACAAAAAAGGAGATGAAAATGCCTAGGATCACTGTAGGGATAGCATACAATAGGGGTGGCCATAGAGCGGCTCTTACGCAAATAAAATAATGCATGAAATATGGTAACTACTCAGTCTCTAAAAGAAAATAATTAATTTATTTCATTTTTGTGTTACAGAGTTATTAGTACACTTAAATTGTTCGATGTGAAAATGCAATTATTTTGTTTCTTTTCTTGTTAGTTAAGAAACTTTATAATATTATTTCAAAAAAATTAAACTTTAAAAAAAAATTTGATGAAGTAAAAGTTACAGCCGAAAACATCGCGGGAGAAAGGAAAGCGATGAGAAAATATCGTGGTCGAAAATAAAGCGGTTCAAAAACTTCGTAGTTTAAAAACATCGTCGTCGACAATATGGTGGTAAAAAATAAAGTACCTACAAATCATCGCATGATTATAACATCTAACACATGCGTTTTTCAAATCTCATATTGGCATATTATGTAACTGACGTTCGTCATAACTAACAAATCGACATCTAAAAAATTGATTGCACGCTATACAGGAAAATGTTAACGACACTTTAAGAATAAACGGTAACAGAACAAAATATAAATTTTCACTAAAACAATATTAGATTAACAAATGCGGAAGAAAATAATTCGATAATTAGCTAAGCAATTTCTATAGAGGTAACCTCATGCAGTTATAGTTATTTATCTTCTTTTTTTCTAAGCAATTTTAGACTCTTATTTTTTCGTAAAAAAATTATGAGTAAAACTTTATAAAAAAAAAGGTTAATTTATTAATCACCTTTGTTAATTAACTCTGTCAATTTAAAATTCTATTAAGTTCTATAAGATGCATTAATTTTATTTTCATTTTCGATTTTTAAATGCTTAAGTTTCCTCCTTAGTTTTTCAACAAAATTTATTAGTTCATTAAAAAATATGAAATATAGAAATAAAAGAATCCCTCCTTCCTTTTTCCGCTCCCAAATCATTATGCATTTACAACTTTTAAAACCTGAAAACGCATGTGTTCGATGTTATCGTCATGCGATGATTTGTAGGTACTTTATTTTTTACCACCATATTTTGACGACGATATTTTTAAACTGCGAAGGTTTTGAATCTCATTATATTAGACCACGATATTTTGTACCACGATGTTTTAGAATTGCGATATTTTTTCTTCGCTTTCTTTTCTCCCATGATGTTTTATACCACGACGTTTTCTCCTTGCTCTGTTTGCTCCGCGATGTTTTTGGCGGACATCTTATTGTTTACATCTCTTTCATCTTTCCATGCATTAGGGATGTTTTTTACACAATTGGTAAATACTGCAGTCCTCTTGGCAGTGCCGTAAAGAGACTAAAGACTTCAAACAAGTTTCACTTTTTGAGAACAGATTTGTCTGCGAAAATTCGTAAAATGAAAATTCTTAAAGTGGGGAGCGTATGTACATATTTTCATAAGACACCAACAGATAAAAGTAAAGAAAGGAAAGATAAAGGCAGAAAAAGCATGGAGATAAATTTTAAGAGCATTTTGTTTTTCTCATAAGGAAGCAATAAAAAGAATAGATAAAAGCAAAGGCATCGGGATCGCTTCTAAGAGGATTTTGTTAAAAGAGATTCATAAAACGAAAGTAACTACATTGCACTAAAATGTTAGTAACAAAATCAGAATAATAGAATTTTGATAGCAAAGACCTTTTATACCTTTTCATGCCTACATTTAAAACTTGTTTTGATTATTCTTATTCTAACTATAGCAAAATAATTGTTACAGTATTAAAAGTTTATACAGTTTGAGCGGTATGTTTTATTAAACTTTATTTTGTTTATTAATGCACTTTGTATAAAATGTATTCGATGAAATATATACATTAAATATCTGTTTAAAAATGACATCTTTTCCAGCTATTTATCATTTTAGTAACTGGAATAATAGTAAAGTAATTCATTCAAAGTGAACAGTTTGGGCGGGGGGGGGACAACACAATGATTAACATTTTAAAAGCATTCTTAGTTTTGATTTCTTTTCTAATAAATGTAAGAAACTTTCATTTAGCGTCATCTTCAATTGTCCGCTCATAGAATATTAGCTTTCACCTTGATTAATTAGAATTTTCATTGATTTTTAGTATCTTTCTCATAGGTAATATAAGTAATAAGTTCAATAAAATCAATAAAATTCCAACTTCTATACTCAAGGACCCCATTCCGGATATGAATTCCTGGGGTATTTATAGGATTCCTTGCCAGTGCGGTTTAATTTACATTGGCCAAACTAAGAGAGCCTTAAAATTTCGCGTCAAAGAACATGAGGCATATGTTAGAAAAAAGGAAACACAGAAGTCTTCTGTTGCTCAACATTGTTGGTCCGAAAATCACACTTTCAATTTTTCTGCTGCCAAAATTATTCAAAAAACATCTTCCATTGGAGAACTGGATTTTCTAGAGGCATTTCACATTCATAAAAATCTTTCTGTTCTAGTTAACGATCCTAATTCCAATCCAAATTTGCCTTCGGCTTTTAGAGAAATTATGTTTTAATTCTGGTTTCGCCAACAGATGGCGCCACTTGCTTATTCTTGTCCAGGCTTTCTTATCTTATCTAAACATTATTTCCTATCTTGTTCATTTGCGGTTTTGCAGCTGAAGCTGATGGTTCGGTAAAACCATCGAAACTAGTCCTGTGAAAATTTTGTGAATTAACGCTGATTTTTGTTGTTTGACTTCTGAATAAGTAATAAGTTGTTCGGCAAACATATGACAGCTAATCAAATCTTTTTTTCCCATTTCAGAGCGGACCAATGAGGTTTTTCTACAGAATCATCGAACGACCTCCGAAAAAATTGAAAACACATCATAGATATGTTTCTAAAGAATCAGAAACAGAAAATGTAGCTCCAGCGACGCTGGACACCACATCTGAAGTAGCAATGGAGGAAAATACAGCGATTTCTACTGCACAAGCTGTAGTTCCTACAACCCCTTCCATACCTGAGAAAGAAGACAGCATTCCTTGTCCTGAAACTGTCAGTGAAGACAAAAGCAGCCAGGAAAAACCAACTGAAATTGATCCTAAGCCAGAAGTTTCTCCGATCAATCCACCAGTGAGTGAAGCAGATGATATTAAAGACAATTCTCCTATCACACATAATTCTCATAAGAAGGAAACGAAGGGACCAACTTTTAAATTTCATTCTGCTAGTGCGAATAAATCAGGCACCAGTGCTGAAAATAAGCCAGCAGTAATGACTGTAGCACCTTTGACTAAGACTTCAACGTCTTTTGCTACATCGAGTACAACAGTGTCGACTGGTACTGTGACGCATGGGTTGTACACCGGTATTTCAATCAAAAAATCGCCTCCAAATACTTTGCCCCCTTTTAGAATTTCTTCTCATCTATTGCCACCCCGAGTACCTCCTTTAAAACTATCGCCACCGCGATTTTCGCGGTTGGAATCGTGCCTCCGCCAAATGTCGCCCAAAGAAACTAAGAAATCTTCTTCAAAAAAGTCCAAATCATCCAGAGGTTCAAGTGACAAATTAGAATCTAAAGTTGCCCAACTGAAGTCGGCCTCAATCAAGAGTGTTGCTCCTCTTGTTATATCCGTCCCCTCTGAACCTAAATGTGCCGAAAGGAAAGAGAGTGACGAAGACAGTGCCACACCGCAGGAACCTGCGCCTGTCAAGCCTGTGGAAGAAGAACGGCCTATAATTGAAGAAAATCACCAGGACACCAAAAGTAACCCTGACGATGACAAGATGGATTTGGATAACGATATTTTTGAAGGACCATTAGTGATTGCGGAACCGGACGTGATATCCAAAGATGATTCTGAGAATTTCGAGAATAAACTGCCTGACATCACTCCTAAGACTGATTCGAAATTGGAGGATCCTGAAGATGAGGAAATAGATGTCGTTGACGACGGCGAAGTGGACAGCGGTCGAGGTAGTGATATCAGCAGTCGAGCTGAAGCGCGTTCTTTGTGCGGTGATGAAGATTTAGGTTCCCCTGAGTCGGTTCCAAAGACTCCTGACTCAGAACGACAGCCATCGATTTCTATCTCTACAAATGCATCTGTTAACGAAACCGAAACAAAGACAGTTGTGGCAAATAAATGCAATGGTATTGCCGTTACCACCAATTCTTCATCAACTACAACAAATGTGAATAGTGACTGTGGAGTATTGGACTTGTCCACCTGTAGTAGGAAACGGTGTCATGAAGGCGACGCACCTGTGCATCGTTCCAAACAGGTTGCAAATCCAGCAGTGCTAGAACACAGTCGCCAGACAACACCCTGTCGGACGGAACATCCGTCTTATAAAATGTTACCCGCTGTGCTTCCACATGTGAATATGTACAAGAACAAACCAGAGACCACTAGTCGCAATTTTAAGTGCCGAGGAAATACATTGACTGTCATCAACTCTGACCCTAATGGCAATATACCAAAGATTGTTATACGGAATCTAGGTCCGAGACCGGATCGTGGTCATGAGCGCTTTCATCATCATCATCATCATCACCATCATCAAAGAATGTAAATATGCATTAACTTTTCTCCAGGACAAATGTGAATCGGCTTAGGATGATTCTAAGATGATCAAGTACCTAAAGCTAGCTTATTAGATCATGCTTATGTGTTGGTGTTGATCACGAATCAAGACAACTAAACTGGTTAGCTATAGCTGAAAGCTCTCAGATTTGCTTCTTATTAGTTCTTAGGCAAAAGTTAACATCTTCATCGAACCAACTAAGCTCCTTTGATTATACTATCCCATCACCTTTGTAAATTTTTATTGATTTGGAAATGAAAATAATTTCTCCTATATATTTTGTGCTATCAGGGCCAAAAAAAAAAAAAAAAAAAAAAAAGAAGAAGAAGAAGTTCATGTATTTCGAGCCTGTAAAATTTTTTATTTCACTTAAATATTTTGATTTTACTTAAATATTTTAATTTTTGACTTAAATATTATTCGTTTAAAAAAACTCACTTAAGTATTTTGATTATTCTTTAACTGTTCAAGTAAATTTTTTTATTTGTTGATTTCAATTAATATTTCAAATACAATTCTTATTAAATTAAATATTTCGCGATTTTGATTTATTTTTTAATTGTTGACTTCAATTAAATAGTTCGAGTACAAAACATCTTTAAAAAATATTCATATATGTGTATTGATTTTTTAGCTAGAAATTTCTCGCTGGCATGAAAATCTTGCTCTTTTTTGATAATTTAGCTATCAAATCAAATTTTATCTATTAAATTTTTTGCGATGTAAAAAATTATAGTTTTTATTATGTGTACAATATAGCTAGTTCCAAATTGATGTTATTTATATTCTGATTTTGTTTTTTATGTTGTATTAATATTTGTGCATATGTTACAAATGAAGTTTTTGTAGCTTCATATTTTGAGTTATGTTTATCAAAAATGTTTTAAATGTGTGGTAAATTATTTATATTTTTATGATAAATTATCAAAATTAATGAAGATTTTAAATCTTTATCACGTATGAATTAGAATTAAAAAAATAAAAAGAGGGAAATGCTTATATATTACTGTAATAACTGTAACATTTTACGAAATTCTTATTTTATTATTGATTATTTAGTTTGAAATTATTAAATTGATTATTTAGTTTGAACTGATATTGCTGCACATGATAAAACAATTTTTGCTTTTTATTTTCAAAATTAAAAATCCATTTTTCCCTATTTTAATGCGCGTAACTGCAAATTTCTATCAGGTTTATAAATTATACTTAAAGTGTGGTATAAGTTAGGTTAAGTAATCTATTACTCGAAAAAAAAAAAAAAAAAAAAAAACTGCAGAATTGTGCGATTATAGAGAAACTTCTAAGCCAACAAATGATGCTTCGTTTGGTTAAGATGTGTTTCCAATAGCAGGTTTATCCTGTTTAGTTTCCCCTTTAAAGATTTGCTTTTCCCGTCAATCAACCAATCAGAAATCCCGAAAGCGAATATTCCCGGAACTGTTTCTTTCGATGCTTAATCTCCAATATCATTCAGGTCTGAGTATGGTTTTTTTAAGTATAAATTATCCAGTCAGAGATTTCAGAGAGCTGAGTTGGTGAAATCCTTCGTTTGCGGAGATGAGGTCTTGAATTCGAGCTCAGCCTGATTAAAGTATTTCCAAACTAATAAATGGCTCTGGCACAATTTTTGTCTATGCAATTAACTTACAAGCAATAAACTGTGAGTGATTTAAGTTACAGAGCGCTTAAAACACTCAAAATGCTTTTCCTTAGAAATACTTAAGCTACTTTGAAATAACAGGACTAGATTATGACCACTTTCTTCCGTGGAATAATTCTGAAAACTTTAGTAACTCAGAGGATATTTCTGAACATCGGTTTTAATAAATTCTAATTCACTTAATTCTACTTCTAATGTTCTGAATTTAACTGTAATTCGCTTAGTAAAAATTTAAAATTTTAAATTTCGAAGTTTTGAGACGGTAAAATATTCTCGTATGAGCGTATCAAAAATTTCAGTATTTTTTCGTCCCCTCCCCCACAAAAAATTTCGATTTTCTGCAATTGTTTTAGCGATTTAGAATCTTCATATGTGATTCTTTAAAAAGCAAAAATTAAGACTGAGTAAAACGTTTTCCTTTTCTCTTAATAAACTAAATTTAGTTTTCAATGTGTGATCAGTACTTATAGAGAATGAATTTTTAAATATTAAATGAAGTATTTAATATATATTTCATATTTAAAAATTTATTCTCGATAAGCAACGAAATGATTTTTTTTTAAATATTGAAGTAAAAAGTTTATTTTATGATCAGAATTATTAGTCCAAAGGGGCTTTGTCCCTGAAGGACTATTGTTTTCGTTTTGCGATTTTGCGTCGGACTCATAAACGTCGGTTCACTTTTCAACTGTTGTCACAAAATGTTAGAGTCCTGCATTATATTTGAAGAAATTAAATAATGAAAAATCTGCTAAATGATTGTCTATTTCTCGCATTGTGATAAAACAATGGTCATAGAGCCATCGATTTGAATGACGAAATCCTATTGCGAATATGGCATCTGAAATCCCAAAATTTGGAATTGTTTTATTATAGATTTTATATTTTGTAAAACGTTAACGAATTTTTGATTTACAAACTCAATGCTTTAAAAGCGAGAATGGCAACGTTATATATAAAAAAAAAAACTTTTCTCCAGCTCGCGAGACTGTATATCGGAATTCTAAAGATATGCTTAATTTAACATTAATTTGCGATATGCTCTTGAACTGAATTTTATGGTTTAAGTGCAAAGAACATGATATTTAATAAATAAAGGTAACACTCAAAGCGTTAAAAAAAAAACGCCCTTTGGACGTAATTTAAAATCTGAAACATTTCAGATTTTTAGTCCAAAGGATTTGAATCCCGAAGGACTATTAGTTTCGTTTTGGCATTTTGCGTCGGACTCATAAATGTCGGTTCACTTTTCAAACTGTTGCCACAAAATGTTAGAGTCCTGCATTATATTTGAAGAAATTAAATAATGAAAAATCTGCATAAATGTATGTATATTTTTCGTATTGTGATAAAACAACGGTACATAGAGTCATCGAATTTTGAATAACGTAATCCTCCAACGAATATGAGCATGTGGAAGACCAAATTTGAAATTGAAATTTGTTTTTATGATCGATTTCCTATTTTTTAAAACTTTGACGAATTTTTGATTACAAAGCTCAAGGATTTCAAAGCGAGCAATGGCAACGTTGTGCAGAAAAATCATTTTTATCTCCAGCGCGTGAGTCTCTGTATCGGAAATTCTAAAGATATGCTCGTTTTAAAACTATTTTGCGATATTGCTGTTGCACTGGATCTTATGGTTTAAGTGCGAGGAACATGATATTTAATAAAGAGAAGGAACACACAAATGTTAAAAAAAACGCCCCTTTGGACGTAATTTAAAATCTGAAACATTTCAGTTTTTTTTTTTTTTTTGTTTTTTTGTTTGTTTGTTTGTTTTCTTACTAATTTATACGAATCAACAACATGTGCTTTATTGCTCGTAGCATTTTACTTTTGTAGAGCTTATCTTTATCACAGAATTTAATTTTAGCTTACTGTTTTGGCTTTTAACCTTTTCAGGAGGGCTTTTAAAACCTTTTTCAGCAACTCGTAAAGACTTATCAGACTTGACAATATTTGTAAGCAACATGAAGCTAATCGCAGCATTTTTGAGATTTCAGCTTACAGTTGGTAGGTTGGCTCAGATGGCAAAATAAAAATCCAAGATCGTTTGCCACAGCAAATGGTATTAAAGGTTCTTTGACGTCTCCTGTCGTGTTTCTAATTGGACATTTCGGATTTTGAGGTATCTGCCTTAGGGGATGGATGCCTTCGTGGAAGACTTTCTAAGGGAAACGGCTCGTATGTACGTTACACAAGAAGACCACAAAATAGCCCAAGCAGCCAGCCCCGTTCACCGTTCGGTTGCTGTGGGCCGCAGATACCGTTGAGTGCCATTTTTTCAAATTAATTTTTTTTCTTATTTTGTAACTTTTATGGAATACAAATTTCAAATTGTTATTTTTAATTAAACTATAAATTACCGAAGATTTATTACAATTTTTGTAGGTATGAAGTGCACGGAAACATCGTCTATAACAAAGTTCAAAGTGAGTCACTCTCAATACTCAGAGCTCTAAGCAGAGAGTTGCTTATTCACCAAGCCCGTCCTTAAAAGGTTAAAGTTATAAATTAGATAGAATGCTTAATCTTGTTTTACGCCTAATATATTGCTTTTTAATGTGCTAATTAAAAAAATCTTCGATTGAAATGTATCATCTATAATGTATTGAAGAGTTAGTGCTATATGCTTTCCCCCACACGGTCTTGTCCTAGTTTAATCGTTCTGATAGCTGTTTGTGAGATACAAATCCACTGGAAAAGTTTGCAAAGATTCACTTAGAACATCAGTCACAATTTCATCGTACGCATTGTACACTGTACCTGCTGTAATAAACTGTACATATAATGCCATCTGTCATATAAAAATGAGCTATTTTAGAATTCGAATCGCTTAAAATGAATACGTTAAAATTTAGTCATGTGTTATTATTTTCTGTTATGTTCATCGGTTGAATTTTGCTGTTAAAAAGTATTGCAGTTTGGTATCCAATGGAAATGTTGGATGTATTACTGTAATGAAACATTTGTACAGAAAATTTAAAATAAAATTGTGTGCTGTTTAAAAAAAAAACTGTTTTTTTTCTATGTGTGTTTTTAGTTGTACACTTATCTTAAGTTATGTTACTGCTTTAAGCATTTATTTTCACAAAGATTTCAAGTTTTAGAGACTGGAAAAGAATTCAATATTTTTATTATATGAATTTTATATCCTGGCGAAACAAAAAGCTGTTGGACTGGTGCATTTGAAATGGCCGGTAGGTAAGTTAGTAGGTCAGTATCTTTACATACACAAAACATTAACAAAAAGCAGAACATCTGAGTCGAAACAATCACTCTCGACAGAGTTCGTTTACAGAATTGGAAGCAAGACTTAAACGTATTTTTACGAAGCCCTCTCTTCTAATTTTTTCAACATAGTAGATGTCCATATTAACTAAAACAACATGTCGAAGAACAAAATCCTCTATTGGCCAACACTGCTGGTCAAAAAATCATATTTTTATTTCTCTGCAGCTAAAATTATTCAAAAAAACATCTTTTGTTGGTAAATTAGATTTCCTAGAGGCATTTTACTTTCATAAATATTCGTTTCTACTTGATTGTCCTATTTTAAATCCATCTTTACTTTCAACTTTTAAAGAAATTATTTCACAGTTCTTTTCACTTTTTGTCACGAGATGGCGACAGTGGTTTTGTTTCCTCTTCATTAACTGGAACTTTCTCAAACATTTTATCTGTTGTTATCGCGTGAGCACATGCTTCTTTTTAGTCATTTTCTGAAGCTAAGCAGGTTCTATATAATCTTCGAAACTAGTCCTGCGAATTTAGGAATTTTACGCTGATTCCTATTGCTACAGTATTTTTAACACATAAATATTATTGATACAAATTATGGGTTACATTCATAGAATCGACAGGGCATAGGATCACCGGAAGTTACCGACATACATACAGTCTACACAAGAAAAAGAAATTTTAATAGGGATTTAAAATTAAGGTACTTTTCCGTTATACGGGGGGCCACAAAAAAAAAAAAAAAAAAAAAAGCATTTTTATTATAACAGTGTTAATAAATTTTAAGTACATTATAAATGAAATACAATATAAATTTGAACAAGGGCCATGGAATTAAACATTTCGGAAAAAAAAAAAACTCATTTCTTTTAGTAATTGCCACCACGTGAACTCTAATAAGTATGATTCAAGGTAGTGGTGTGAGGTGCCATGTTGGCCTTTCTTACGCCATTTGAAACTTCCCCTAAATTCTTTCAACTGTTTGCGTGTGACATCCAGTGTTTGGGTCTACGAGAGTATGTGTGGTTAACTATGAGATGGTCATATGGGAGTTCGGGGCATGTGCCCCTCAGCTCTCGAAGAAATAAGATCTTGTCCCTCGGCATTCAGCCATTTCTGCTACCGCTGCGCCACACTGTTAACCACATGCCTAAAGAACTGTAATGGCTATAAGCCTGAAAAATTCTTTGACAGACATGGCTGAGGTTCTGAAACCTCCGACCGAACAGGAAGGTGTTTAGGTAGCGGAAGAGGTGATAATCTGTTAGGAGCAATTTTGGCAAATACTGTGGGTGGAGAAGGATTTCTTATATAACTGTTATATAATGTTAGCTGTAAATTTTGTCACACGTAAGGATGAGCGTTGT